CCGCATCGGGCTCCCTCCTCGGCGAGGAGCCTGCTTCTCCCTCCAACCCTCCCCCCTCTCATGTACTCTCATTCTCTCTCTTAAATAAATAAAAAATCTTAAAAAAAAAAAATCCTTAAATTCATGGGAGAAAGGTCATTCCTCAAAAGGAAATCAGGGTGTTATTCCAAAAGAAGGTGGAATGGATGCTGGATGGCAAAACCCCGCAAACATCTATCACAGAGGATTCTAGAAGAGACCCATGACCGCAAAATAGGTTGAGAATTACCGGTTAGTACTTGTGGCTTTTGACACATGTATGTATCCAATACATTTCATGAATCCAGTACATTGTACATTAGGCTTATATGGCGGCCTAATGCCATCTGTGTCTGTATACGCACGTAATACATAACACTGAGACAAAAACTTTACAAACTTTACAAAGTTAGGTTTGTCTTTATCCCATCAATACTTCTGACGTTTTCTACTTCTATCCTGGTCCATTAAAAAAAAAAAAGACTAAACTGGTCATAACCCACCAACTTGATTTCATAACCCACTCGATCTGCTGTTAGGCATGGGGGGGCTCTGGTGGACCTCTTGCTTCTGCCAGCTCCCCTCCCCTGCTGTCCCCACCACCCTGTCTCCACTACCCCCACTCCCTACCCCTCACTTGTGCCATCTTATCAAGTACCTAACTGGCTTCCTTGCTTCCCGCTTATGTATAATCCACTGGACCAGATTAAATTTTTCTAAAGCCCAGCTCCGATAAGAAAAAAAAATTCTGGTGGTGGCCTCTTCTGAATGGATTTTTCTTTCCTTTGGCCATTCCTTAGTGTTCTTCCATGTGTTTTCTCTCCTTTCCCCTACCTTCCCATGATTACCATGAATAGCACCTTCTCCCAGAAACCTTCTTCACTCACTCAGTCACTAAATGTTTGCTGAACCTACATATACACTGTGTTAGATTTGGGAGAAATACGGTATTGAGCAAGCAAGGCAGACGAGAGCTACTCACCCACAGTGCTTATGGGAAAGGCGGGGTATAAAGGATCCTAATCTAGTGGGAGAGCTTCCAGGAAGGCTTCCTGCAGGGGGTGTCAATCAAGAGAAGCACTAAAGGGGCAGGTGTGTGTGCGTGAAGGCGTGGAGGTTAGGTGGGAAGTCCAGTGAAGGTGAAAGAGCCCCAGATGAGATCGTGGGCTGAGTTCCAGGAGCAAGAAATAAGAGCATTGAGTGGGTAAGGGTTTGTGTGGAGAGAGAAAGACAAGTGATAAGTGATGTGGTTGCCAAGATACAAAAGATGCAGGGAACTGGTCATCATGATAGTGCTCTCACCCAGTGGTTCTCACTCGGGGTCCATTCTTCCCCCCTCCGGGGGCCACTGGGTGATGTCTGGAGACGTCTGTGATTGTCATGACTGGGGGAGGGAAGGTGCGCTTGGCAGGGGGTGGGTGAGGCCAGGGATGCTGCTCCACATCCCACAGCACCCAGCACGCCCCACCAGCAAGAATGGTCTGGTCCCAAGTGTCCACAGTGCCGAGGCCGAGACACAGTTGTGGAATGCTTACTCCAGTACTGAGTATTAATTTATTTAAAGCTCACAAGGCTGTGAGCTGGAGTGTGTGTGTATGTGTGTGTGTGTTGGGGGGGGTGTACCTCACAGCTTTCTTCAGAGTTCTTGCTACCAGAGAGTTCCCAGAGGCAGAACATCTGTGGGTTCCCCTGCCATCTTCCCCTCCCCCCACAGCTTACTGAACTCTGCGGGTCATCAGGATTGTAATGCAGCTCCATATCACCAGGGATCCAGGCTCCTTCTGTCTCATTGCTTTGCCATCCTTATTATAGGACGTCCACCTCGAGGTCTAAAATGGCTGTTAATGCTCCAGCCATCATATCTGCATTCCAGCAGGCAGCTTCAATTTTCCCATGTGTACAATGTGGGTAACACCTACTATCAAAAAGAGGAGATTGGACAGAAGCATCTAGTGTGGAGCCATTGTGATTAGAACCTCCCAGAGGCTCTTGGTGGGACTAGGTTCCCTTTGTTGTTTGGCCCTCTGCCCTGGGTCACTACCCAGTGGGCCTTCCAAGGGACTTGACAGCCTGTGGGCCTTCAGCAGTCTGTCCTGCTCATCTCCTCTCTGGCTCCTGGGACGGTGGTCATGGAGGCATCACCTGTGCTCACTCCATCACCAGCCACTCAGGCCCAGGAGCAGGGCCTGGCTCTCCTCCTCCAGGGACCCTGCCACCCCAGCACCGGGCCACCTCTCAGACAGGGGTGGCTGCTGCTTGGTGCAAGGGCTGGCACTGCTCAGGGGTCTCAGGCTGGAGAGGGCCTGCAATCGTGAACCACGAGCGGATGGGGCGAGTCGGGGTTCCGCTGGGTTCTCAGAGCCCGGCAGGGACTCGCCACAGAGACAGGGCCCGGCCGCCTAGCTGAAGGGGAGTCTGCATGGTTGTGTCCTGGGAGTTTCCCAAGACTGGTCACAAAATTTGCACTGGGGCCCAGCACAAAATGAAAGCGTGGGCACTTTGTTCAAAAACTATTAAGAATTTCAAGACGGTGATGGCAGAGCATTAAGCCATGTGCAGGCCCTTGGAGGTCCCAGCCCAGGAAAGTAGTAGATGATTTTAGTGTCACCTGGGGGCCTCAGGGCCTCTACCGGGGACAGATGGGCCTGGGCTGGGGCCAGGGCTGAGCATCTCTGGGGCACGTGGGGCGCTGGCCTGGCACAGAGGAGCAACTTTTTAGGGGCGGCTGACCAGGAATTGTGTCCCACATTTCTGGAACATCTTCCCATCTGTGGGCCGTTCCTGGTTCCTGAGCCTGTTGGTCTCCTCTGCAGGGTTTCTTCAAAGTCCTATAATCCCGTGTCAGAGCCCCTCAAAACCCGCCAGAGGGGAGGTCCAAACAACTCGGATTCCCAGCCCCCATGGTAATCCCACCAGGCAGCCTATCTGTGGACGGAGCCCAGGACTTGGCCATTTTAGAACAAGCTCGTGCAGTGATTCTTCCCAAGTTTGGCTCCCCACCCATCTACCGAATAAGCCCTGGGAACAACCGGTGGGTTTCATCAGTGCCTGGAGCCGGGATTTATTCTGCCAAATCTGAGTAAGTCTAGTCTGCTTACAAATAGTCTTGACCATCCTGGGCTGAGAATTGTTTTCTTGCCATCTCTGGCCCAGAGCTGGCCTTGCTAAATGAAGCTCAGGGAATCTGCTCCTTCTGGAACACTCCCCAGAGAGTCAAGAACAAAGTGCTGGAGGCCACTGCTTCTCCTCGGAGCCTTGCAGGGCAGGAGCCCGGCCAGGTTGGCTGTCCAGGGCAGGGGACTGGCCTGAAGGGAGGCCCGCATCCTCCCGGGCCACCGTGTGTGGGTGTGTGGGTGGCTGTGTGGGTGGGTGGGTGTGTGTTGGAGGGAAGCTGGAGCTGTGGATCGCGTGTGTTCACTGCCATGAAAAACAAGAACGGGCTTGGAAGGCGTGTGTCTTTACCGTCATTTGTATTGTTCCTTGTGGAATCCTGCAAAGGCAGGAGCGTAAGGCAGAAACCCAGTTTGTACTGCTCACCCCCCCGTGGAAGGAAAGGCAGGCCATTACAATCCAAGAACCGTGAGCTTAAGTGTCTCCCAGGAGAGGAGATATATATATTTTAAAGACATTCTTTCCGTCTGATTTCATCTAAGTCTTGAACTGTAAAACCAGACAAACACTGTGATTGTGATAGACTTTTGGTTCCTAAAATAAGCGCCTAGCTTTCCTGTCTTTCCCCTCCACGCCTCCCTGCACACCTGGCGTGGGCCTAGGAGTGCTCAGCGCTCCCGCTTGTTGGGAAGTAAGGTTTTTAAAGGCCACGTGAGTTTACATTAGTACCTTCTGCGTGAATGAGAAAAAAAATGTTGGGGACTGAATATACTGCAATATACGTGTTCATAAGAAACGTTCTAATAACAATTAGAGCACAAAACTATTGGTATAAACATTTCCAAAAGGAGAAACTATTGCATTTCATAAGATGGTGTTTCCTAGACCAGAGGTTTGTCTTTCTTCTTTGCAGTTGGTTTGGGGGCAGGACTCTTGCACGGAGCTAACCAAGTGCAGTGTGTTACGGCGGATCCGGAGTGTTCAAAGTTCAAGGGCTGTGCAAGTCCTCGGGATTCATTTAGCCCACAGAAGAGTGTCGACTTTGAGCAGTTCAAGATGGGACTTGCCCTGGGTCAAAGTGCTCCAGGATTGCTAATTCAAAGGTAGGCATTCCAGAAGATTCTACGGGGTGGGAGCCAGGCAGGCTTGGCCCGATGGCTGCTCTCTGAAGGCACCACTGAAACACCGACCACCCAGCCCCCTTGGAACAAACTCATTCCAGACCTGGCAGTTTGGCTTGACGTTGGCTGTGACCTTGGACAGAACCCAAATCCTTCCAGTTGCTGATAAAACTTCTGGTCTTGGTTCTTACACCACTATGTCTTGGCATGAGCGGCCCATTTCTGTGACTTGTTCTCTGGGCCACGTGGGGCCATGGCGATTGACAGCTGCTTTTGGGGACATTTGGTGTCTGCAGATGGGGCTCCCGTGGGCCTGTGGGCTGGCCTCCACGCCTCAGCACAGCCGGCAGGGCAGGAGGCCCTGGGCACAGCACGGAGAAGGTCCCTTCCCACCACAGGGCACCAGGGCTGGGGGCTCCATGGACACCAGTCAGCTTGGGACTGCCCAACAGCTGCAGGACACCCCTTCCCTCCTGGGATCTGAGTTTTAAAAAATAAATGGTGGAAGCTGGAAGCAGCTGAACCGAGGAGAAGCCCAACATGGAGGTGCCTGCTCGTCTGGCACGGCCCCTTTCAGCTCTCAGGCGGGATGCGTAGACTTGGACCAAAAAGTTCATGGTCCGGCAGAGGAGAGAAGAAAACTCAGAAGGAAAAGATGACCCAGGAGGCACCGGGTGAGCAGCTTAGGCACTCGGGAACCTGACGTGACCTTCTGTTGTGGTTCATGAGGGTTTTCCTTCTGGAGGGCGCCCCCGTGAGTCAGAGCAAAGATCACGTCATCTAAGAGGCACTATTACAGTAGAGCTCGAGGGGCCCGGTCTGGAGCCTGGGGGAGGCACCGCAGAGCTAGATGCCCTGCAGGGAGTGGTTCGGGTCACTGCGCTCCCGCTTCACCAGGGGCTCGCCCAGGCTGCGGGCATCGGAGTTGGCCTCACGGCCACGATCCTCGCTGAGGTCATCTGCAGGGTTAGCGTTGCGGATGAGGAGTGTGGGCGCAGGAAGGAGAGGGAGAGAGAAGCACATTCTCAGAGAGGTGCACAGGTGTGGACGCTGCCCTGCAGTGCCCAGGGAGGCCTTCTTACTGGAGACCTCCCTTGACCAGTGTCCATTTGCTGAGTCACATTCCTGGCAGGGTTCCCCTCAGCAGTTGGTGCCCCCTACCCCGTGGGGCAGGGAATGGGTTGGGGTAGGGGCAAGTGGATGGAGGCAGCCCAGGACTGTGGCCCTGCTCCCGGGCCTGATGTGGAGGTGCCTGGGGAGCAGGATTAGATGGCATCCCAAAGCACCCACACAAGAAGGAGGTGCAGGGCTGCTCCTCTGAGCCCCAGCAGGAGCCAGGCCCGCATAAGCATCACTGGGACACCTGCTGCTGCCCAGGCCTCACCAGCCTGTCTGGATGCCAGCTCCTAAAGGCCCTCAAACCCACCCTGGGAGCTGCCTCGATTTCTACTACGCCCAGGGTGGGAGGAATAGCCCCTGGGAGAGCCTCACGGAAAAACCACGGACACACCCACCTTTATTGAGCAGTGTCAGCGATAGGGAGGCGAGATCGTTGAACTGAAAGAGAGAAGCCCAGAGTTAGGGGCCTCCACAGAGGGGCCTGGTCCTGGTGAATGTCAGCACTGTCCTCTATCTATAGTTAACACAGGCTTTGCTTGTAAAGGAGAGCGGTTCCCCCATGAGAAGTGGCGCTGATGCTGGTGTGTCCCCTCTGGCACCTTCTGGGTCTTGCCTGGGAGCTGCTGGAGGGCTGAGTGGGTGCTGACTGCTCAGGCCACCAAAAGGACAGGGACTGTGGCCTCTAAAGGTGACAGGCTTATTATGTCCTAAAAGCTCTCTAGGCATCACCTCATTTCTTCCTCAAAACAACCCCATGTGACCTGGCAATTCTGTTCCTAGGAATGTACCCAAAAGAAGCGAACACAGGTATTCAAACAAGAATGTGTGCCCAGATGGTCACAGCAGTGCAAAGCTGTAAACAACCCATGTGTTCATCAACATATGAACAGGTAAAGCAAAATGTGGGCTGTCCGTGCAAGGAAATATTATCTGGCCACAGAAGCAGTGAGGCAATGATCTGCGCTACAATGCGGCTGCACCTTGAAAAGATGATGTGGAGTGACAGATGCCAGACAAGAAAAGGCCATGCCCACGTATGATTCCACCCGGGTGTGGCGCCCACGACGGGCAGATCCTGGCAGAAAGCAGGGTGGCGGGTGCCAGCGCCTGGGGAGAGGGATGGTGGTGACTGCTGACAGGGGTGGGGTGTGCCTCTGGGGTGATGCAATGTTCTGGAATTAGATAGAAGTGGTGGTTGCACAACTCTTAACGTACTAAATGCCACTGAATCGTTCACTTTAAAATGGCCGGAATGGTACATTTTATATGTCCGTTCCAACAGGAGACCTCCCACGGGCCGGGTGTTCCAGGTCTCATTTCAGGGGCAGGAACGCTCTAGGAGGCGGAGGGGCCAGGGCTGAACCCAGGTCGGTGGGCTCCAGCCTGCGAGCGCTTTCCCACCCATGGGCCTCCTGTGAGTGTTTCTTCTTTGGGCCGTCCACTGTGTCACACACACTGCCCACGGCGTCCCGGGGCCCCGACCCTCACCTCTCCCATCACAGCAATCGGCGTCTCTCCGGTCGCCTCGGCGACACGGTGCTCCACCAGGTAGAACATGTACTCGTCATAGAGCAGGCGGATCAGGTGGAAGGAGCCAAAGCTGGCAGCGCTGCGTAGCGTGAGGTCGCGGATCACCATGGAGCTGGGGGGATGGGCAGACAGAGGCTGGGGACTTCCAGGGAACATGGACTCGCAGGCAGGCAGTCAGGCCAGGCTTTTCGGAGGGGAGGCCCCATAGATCCCACGAGGGGCCTGCCAGCCACCCAGACCACCCCTGTGTCCGTTGTGACAGGCGGGGGTTGGGGGGGGGAGGCGGGCGGGGAGGTCAGCTCTAAGCAGGGGGCTGGGGAAACGGGACATCGTGTCTCTGACACAAGCCTTAGCCAATGGCCTGTGGTCAGTCGTAGTACCCTTACGACTTGCCCATGGCGGGCAGCCTTTCCCGGCCTTCCCTCCTCCTGGGACCCCCTCCCATCCAGCCTTGGCTCCTCAGTCAGTGGTTTAGGTGCCTAAAACAAGACAGAACTTCAGGGAGCTTTTGCCTCTTTCATCTGCAGCAGGGGCTGGGGAGGTATGGCCCCAAATCCAGACCAGATCCAGCCCACTGCCCACTCCTGTACAGCCCACGAACTAACGATGGGTTTTACAGGTTTAAATGGTTGGAAACACGGTCAAAAGAAGAATTATGTTTCACAACCTGTGAAAAGTACCTGAAATTCACAGTTTGGGGTCCATAAATAAAGTTTTATTGGCACATTGGTCATGCCTGTTCATTTACATGTTGTGTGCCGATAAAAGTTTATTTATTTCTTGGAAATACTTACTATCTGATTCTTCACAGAAAAAGCGACCCCTGATCTAAAGGGATGAGATCACTTCGCACCCGACCCCAAACACCCGACTGCCCCACCTCAGAGCTTCCCCACTCATCGCTGTGGTAGCAAAAGAACCAGGAGGGGACAAGGCAGGAGACGTATGTTAGCCCCTGACAGAGTCACCAAGCAGGGGGCCCTGCACAGCAGTGGCTCCGACGCCGTGTGGCCCAGGCATCCCAGAACCAAGCCGGAGGTGACATATGGGATTCTGAGAGTGAACCCTCGAACGACCAGCCACGAAGGGCCAGGCTCCCCCCTCCATGGTGGCAGCGGCGAAGCTCAAGCTCAAGCCAATCACCTCATTTCCTTGCTTTGCTCCCGCAAATTCTCTGTAAACACCTCTCCCCTCGCTCACTGACCACCTGCGGGTTGGGGCTGCTCCAATCAACTTTTGAAAATGTTAGCGTGCCCTGTTATTTTTTTTTTTAAGGGGCTGACACTCTGTGCTTGTGTGGGAACGATGGGGCGTGCAGGTGAGTCAGTAAGAGCAGTTGATGACATTATACTTAAGGCTTCGCACGTCTTCCTGGGCTGGCGTGTAGATGCACTCTTAAGGCACTTGGTTTGGCAGTGGGGGAAAGAGAGGTGGCTTCAGCAGGCTGTGGATCTGAGACGGCTTAGCAAAGGCAGCCAAGGAGGGAAGCCAGGTGCTGACCGCCGTGTCCAGACCAGCATGTGGAAAGCAAAGGTCGCTTGAACGTGTGCGGACCCAAAGGCCGAGTCAGTGGACAGGGTGGAACGGCTTGGGATTTGGGCTGTTTTCTCCTCAGAAGCTCCTTGGCTCTGTATGGCCAAGCCCCCTAAAGGTAAACAAGCGAACTCGGATTTTGGGTCCCCGGGGGGGGAGGGGGATGTCTCCCCGTGCTCCCGTCCCCCACCCAGGGAGCCGTGGCTTGGCTGTTATGCTGCGCCAGCCCTTCTCCCGAATGCCTCATGTCAGCCAGAGGAGAGCACAGGTCTGGAAAGAAAAGTTGCAGGCTGCCTCCGTCAGCACACGGTACCTGCCCTGGGAGCCTGCCGAGCGGGCCGCTGGGCCTCCGGAGCCCACCGTGCCTGCTTTCCCTGGGTTCTCTTGGAAACCAAGCCGGACTTACCTGTAAAAGGACCATTTCAGAAGAAACTGGCGGGCGGCCTTGGGGAAGCTGGGGCTGCCGGCATGCTGCTTCAGGACCTGGGTGACCACGTTGTCCAGCCAGCTGGCCCACTGGTCCAGGGAGCTCTGCTGCTGCAGGGTCAGCTTGAAGTCCTGCTCCAGCCGCTGCACCACACTCTCCTCACACTGGCACACCCACGAGGCCTGTTCCTGCGGGGCGTGGGCGGCAGGTCAGGGTGGCACCCCCACCCCCAGACCAGCGCCATTGTGGGGTGCGGGGGGAGCACGGGACCAGCACCCGCTCCGGGCCTTTGCCGGTTGCTGCTTGAGCCCCCGGAGCGGAGCCGGACAGACGGACAGCCAGAGGGAGCCTGCCCTGCTTCCAAACGCGGAAACCCATGCTTCCCGGGGCCAAAGCTCAGATCACACACCATATGTTTGTGGTGTTTTACTTTTAAGTGCTCGTTTCTCTAAAGGTGTGTGTGTGTTTATTTAGTGGATGAACTCAGAGCCTGAACTCGGCGTGAGTATCACTGAGGCAGGACCCACAGGAACACAGCCTGCACTTTTCTGAGCCCAGAGGAGAGAGCTGTGAAAATGGCAGCAGGAAGGTAGATTCTTATGGAGGGTGACCCAAGGTGTGGGTCCCAGCACCTGGAGGCCTGGGGCCCCTGGGGGGCTGCAGGGAGGGGGCTTCCGCCCTGACCCTGTTCTCATGTACGCTGGGTTTTGCTGCTGGTTGCATTTTGTGGTTTTGAGCCTTTTACTCGAGGCTGGAAGGCGGGGTGGGGGTCGCTGATCTGCAGCCTGGTCCCCACGCCCCATCCCAGGTCGCGGGGAATCGCATTGGAGAAAGTCACCTGCACGTTGGCGAAGTCCACGCGGTTGAGGTCACTGAGCATCTGGTTGATCTGGGAGGTGTTCTGCAGCACGGCGCGGGCTGCCTGAGCGAGGTGGTTGAGGGACGTGTATCTGCGCAGGGTCTGGGCAAAGGCGCTGACCACGCCGACCTGTGGCCGAGGGAGGTGCAGACGGTGAGGCGCGGGGGGAGAGCGCGTTCTCTCCTCTCCGTGGAGGGATTGTGGGCTCCGGGACAGTGCGGAGGAGCGGGAGAGAGGGACCCACTCTTCCGACAGTTTCAAGGACCCGAAGAGTGAGAATAAATGAAGGACACGAACCTCATGAGACATCTCGGCATCTAGAGCAGACGCCATAGCATCGGTGAGGTAGCACTCGGGACAGGGTGCTTACGCTGCTGTTTCTAGAATTCCTTTGGCTCTCTGGAGCGGCCGGGGTGGGGGAGTACAGATTCCTGGGTGCCACTGGATCAAGCTTCGTGGGGGTGGGGCCTGGGAATCTGCAATTTTACCCTACTTTGGGGACTCCAATGCACCCTGAGGTTTTTTTGTTTTTTTTTTAATAAGCATGGCTATTTTTTTTTTTTTAGATTTTATTTATTTATTAGAGAGAGAGGGAGCGCGCGCGTGCACAAGCAGGGGGAGCGGCAGGCAGAGGGAGAAGCAGGCTCCCCGCTGTGCAGGGAGCCCGGCACAGGGCTCTATCCCAGGACCCTGAGATCACGAGCTGAGCTGAAGGCAGATGCTCAGCCGACTGAGCCCCAGGCGCCCTGCACCCTGAGGTTTGAGAGTCACCGGTCTAACAGATTGTTCCAGACCGCGGTCAGGGCGGCCCGATGCTCGGAGCGTGGCCTCACCTGTGCGCAGGTCTCTAAGCGGCGCTTGAGAGAGCAGCCGTCACTCTCTTCTGCGCACGGAGGCCCGCTCTCCACATTTTAAATTCTGCTTTGCAGCCAAGACTATTGCAGTAAGGGTGACAGCAAGGAGATTAAACCCTCCTGCCCGTGAGGTGCATAGAAACATTCTATCCGTTCTGAATCCACCCAAATGCATCACAGCAAATGACAGCTTCTGTCGTGCCCCTCCCTGTGAGTGTCGGTCCCACATCGCCAGCATCCTGGAGACTTCCTGGGGGGCAGGGCACTCATGGTCCTCAGGACCCTTGGGAGCGTCCTGCTTTGCCTGGGCACAGGGCCAAGAGCCCCTCCCTGAGCCCTTCCCAGCTGCCCCCCCCGCCCCTCCCCCCCCCGCAGAGCGGAGTGGTTACCTTGGTCTGGATGACGTGCTGTGGGAAGTCTCTCATGGCGTTCGTCAACCAGCCTTCCAAGCTCTTGGCAAAATTACGGATGGCCTGTGTCAAGGTACCTGGGAGAGACAAGCCGTGACACAGTGAGAAAGGCAGTCCTGATCCCGATCAGGATCAGCAGGAATGGAAGAGGTGCACATGCAATGAAGCTGTTGGCGCAAGAAAAAGAGGCGGCTGAGCACACACGGCCGAGGGACCAGGGAGAACTTAGGGCATTCAGTGAGGGAGGCGCCGGGTGAGAATTGGGGCCACCCAGTGCCTTCGTCTCTGTTCCTCTATCTCCTGCCTTAGTGGTTCTCCTCACCCAGCACGACTCTGCCCCCAGGGGACACTGGGGGATGTGTACAGACATCTGTGGTCGTCCCAATGGGGGAAGCTCTCGGCATCGATCGGGTGGGGGCTGGGCTCACCCCCCCCCGTAGTGCCCAGGACGGCCCCCCCCATTACAGAGAACAGTCCACAGTGCTGAGAGGCCCTGACCCACACACATGCACGTACATATCTTCCACCAACTTCCAAGTTTATTGTGAGGTGGCTTGCAAATAAGAAACAAATCAGACTGTTTAAAAAGAAAAAACTTCAAAAATATAAAAGCAAATATACCCCGACCCAAACCTTAACATAGAGACTCTAATTCGCATTGCAATGAGCGGTTCTGCGGCAGGCAAACCCAAAGGAGAAACGCAATAGTTTGGCTGTTTCCCATTTTGTGGCACAAAAACAGCAGACCAGTTCATTAAGAAAGACTGAAGTTTCCGTTGTGCCAAAGGGCACAAATATTGATAGGTCACCACCAGGTGTACCCATGCCCTCCCCTCCCCCCCGCAGTCATTCCTTAAGCACGAGGCCTCAGGGCCCAGCTTCCTCACTCCGGGGCTTCTACCCTCAGGACCCTGGGGGCCGCAAGGGACAGCCTGTAAGGGGCTGGCAGGGTGTGCCCCCTGCGGGGAGTGGGGGGCGTGTGTCATCACCCCCAGGGCGGGGGGGGGGCACTGCAGGCGGCCCTGGGGGCAGAGGGGCACAGCGGGTCGAGACTCTCCGAGGGCTTTCAGCAAACGTGCAGACAGGGAGGGGTAGGGCTATCCCGTGACCTTGGCCCCACTCTGGGGGCATCCCGGGCCCCAGAGGAACTTGGAGGCTGGAGTGTCACTGGGAGCCCCGTAGCACCGAGCGCACCGAAGCCTGGGCCAGCGCTGGTAGGCGGCGACCCAAGGGTGACGGGCCTCCAGAACTGCGAGCTGGCCCTCCGCTCGGCCTCGTTCTGGGGGGTGGGGTGGTGCAGGGAAAGAACAGGGGTGCCAGGGGGACGCAGCAGCCCTAAGAGCCGCTTACTGGGCACCGGCCGCAGCACATCAGGGATGAGGATCTCCACCAGGGCCTGGTACAGGATGTGGTCGCAGTTCCTCATCCACTTGAGAATGGGCTCGCATTTACACAGAGACACCAGCTTGTCCTTCGGGAGGACGGCACCTTCGGGTTCCCCGTCGCTGTGGGGGACGGGAGAGCCGGGGTGAGCTGCGGCCTGCAGGGTGGCAGGGGGCCCCCGGGACAGAGCTCGCCCCACCTCTCATTCCCCAGTGGGCCCGTGCCGCCCCCTTCCCTGCCTGTGGCCGGGGAATGACACGTCCCCTATTTGGGCCAGCACGGGGTCCCCTCTACAGTGTCTCGTGCTGAAGCAAGGGAATGGGCAACACAGTGTGGAAACCACATACACACACACACACACACACACACAGAAGGGGGCTCTGAGCGCCGATTCTTAGAAAGGGGATGCATTTGTCTGTGGGTCACAGTGTGGGTGTCCGCAGCCTGCAGGTTAGCCCCGGGGTCCTGGGAAATGAGCCGGTGGCTCCGTGGCCACTGGGGGCGGGGGACGGGGCGAGGGCAGTTACCTGGCAGGTAGAGAGGCAGGGCCATCACCCGAGGCGGCTTTCGAGTTCCAGAAGGAAAGCCACAGCTTCTCAATGTAGTGAAACTGGAGGTTCACCACGACGTCTAAAGTTGCCTGCGAATAAACACAGCCGTCGACCTCACGGATGTGCGTGTTAAAAAGCGTGCCTATCACGTATTGTCGGGACATGCCAAGCGGGCAGCCGTGGAGAGCTGCAGTGGGGTCCCCTGAAATCCAGAGAGAGACCACAAGAGGGGACGGACGTGCCACGGTTTAGAGAGTGGAGATTTTTATCTACTTGGCGAGAGGAAGCAGGGGGCCGCTCCTGCCTCTTCCTCCTCCTCCGGGTCACCCAGGGACACCTGGTGATGTCGGAGAGTTTGGCAGTTCTGGAGACGCGGGAGACTGACCGCCTCACCGGGTTGTGGGGGGAGGGGAGGCTCGCTCGGCCCTCCACCCCCGGCCCTGGGGGGGACCCCCACCCCCAAGGCGCAGGCTCAGGGTCGCCCTGGGCGGGGCGGGGGGAGGGCGGTCACCTCGCAGTGCCGCCGGTAGACCAGTTGCAGGGCCTTGACGTCGTGCAGCGTGATGCTCTCCTGCAGCAGGACGCTGCCCAGGTCGGGCGCCGGGAAGTCCGGGAAGATGTGAGAGACGTCTGGGAGGAAAACGGGGGTTAGCCCAGTTGCAGAAGGGCCACGTGCAGGAGGCCCATGTGCTGGGGGATTAGGGTCAGGGTTAGGGTTGCCAGTGACCGCTCCACAGCCTTGGGTCTCACAACTTTTAAGCTTTGGTTTTCTCAGGGACGGAATGGGGACAACACTGTCATCTCCCAGGGACAGTAAATATGCAGACGAGCCCTGAGCCCAGGCCCCGGCACTCAGCGGGCGCTCCCATCACCCCAGCGTGGGGGCCACCCTGGGTAGTGAATCTGGGGAGGGGGCCGGCCGTGGCCGTCCCTAGTTACTTTCCTGAAGGGTTCTGTCTGGGCTCCAAAAACACACTAAATGTAGACGAAGGCCACTGACGCCTTCGGTGTGTGTGCCCACGGATGCTGACTACAGCGAGCCTCCCTGGGCGCGACCCATGAGGCAGGCTGCGAGTCAGGTGCTCCCTGGGGCGGCCGTGGCACCAGCAGGGAAGGGGCTCTCCCAGGGAAGGGCCAGGCAGCTGTGGGTCAGGCCAGCAAGGAGGGGAGAGCCAGTGTTTTGTTTTTTTTTTAAAGATTTCATTTATTTGACAGCAACAGCCAGAGAGGAAACACAAGCAGGGCGAGTGGGAGAGGGAGAAGCAGGCTTCCTGCTGAGCAGGGAGCCTGATGCGGGGCTCGAGCCCAGGACCCGGGGATCATGACCTGAGCCTTGGGGATGCCATAAAGGTTGATCTAGAACATTTCTACGTCAAGAGGTATTCTACAAGCCAACTGTTTCAAGCACCCCTGCAGACACCGCAGGTGCTGAAACCTGTGAGCCCCGGAAGAGCTGAGTGGACACAGGAGCTTCCCCAGGAGGCCCTGCACGCAGGGCGGGGGCACTCACCTATGTACTGCTGGTGGTGCTGGCTCTGTGCGGCCATGGCCTGCTCTGGTGTGCTGTGCAGGCTGCCATGCGGACCACTGTCCCCGAGGCTGTCTGTCTTCTGGGCTGGCCGGTACCTGGGCAGGGGACACTGTGCCATCACGAGGCCCCAGCTGTACGGCCCAAGGGGGACTCAAGGAACAGAGAACTGAGCAGGATTCAGTTTGTGTGTGTGTGTGTGTGTGTGTGTGTGTGTGTGTGTGTGTTTAAAAACTTGTGGTAAAATACACACAACATGAAATTCACCATCACAACCATGTCTAAGCGCACAGCCCAGCGGCATGAAGCACACGCACGCCGTCCTGCAACCATCCCCACCCCCGGCCCCAGCCCCGGCTCCCACCCTCTCCTCTCTGTCTGTGTGGACGGGACTCCTCTGGGGACCTCCTGGGAGTGGGGTCCTCCTGCGGGATGTGTCCTTCTGGGTCTGGCTCCTCTCACTGAGCCCAGGGTCCTCGGGGTCCCTCCATGTTGTGGCGGGTGTCAGGTGTCCTCCCTTTTTAAGACTGAATAACATTCCATTGTCTGGATGGACACGTTGGCTTATCCATTCATCCGCTGATGGATACTCAGGGTTGCTTGTGTATCTTTTTTTCCCCCTAATACTTCTCCCTTAGCAGATAAGCGAACTTCTTTATATAGAATCACAAATATCTTACTATTATATGGTCTCAAAGGAAATTCTGGGACTTTCATTTTGCCTTGAGTCAGAAAGCAGTGGACAGCCTGTCCTGGCGGCAAACGGGAAACATTCCCTGAGAAGGGCTCCCCAGGGCCCGGTGTGCCTTGCGCCCAGCGGGCGGCTGCGAGGTGGTGATGGTGTGCGGTGGGAAGAGCAGGGGGACCCAACTCCAGCGGGGAGTGCCTTTCCTTGTGGAAAGTGGGGCCAGGCTTCCCGTGAGGATGGAGAAAAGCCTCTCAGACACGTGTGGACTGCCTGACTCGGGCGGTGGTTCCAAGCGCAAATGGCTCGAGCCTGTCGCCGTGAGACGTACAGCTGCTCCGAAGATAACACTCTGCCTGGTGTCGTGACTCACGGGTGTTTGTAGGGGCCCAAACCCCAAACCAAACAACAACAAGAAGCTACAGAGTCCACATCTGAACAAGCAGCTTCAGGATGGACTGCTGGTTCCACTCTTATCTGTTGGCTGCTGGAGAACGTTCTGCAGACTCTCTTCTGTGACCTCCAACTCCCGCGATTGGACATGTGGTTTGGAGTCCCTGGGATGGCCTCAGAGCCGCTAAAGTGGGTTCTTAGCCGCACACAGATGGGCCAAGTTATGAAGGTGCCACGTGGTGCAGTCTGGACCCTGGAGAGGAGCCAGGACAGAGGGAAGCAGGGAAGGAGAGGTGACCGCAGGACTGCCAGGGAGGTGACATTTGAGTGGGGCCATAACCAGGGGCCGGCAAATCCCAGCTGTGGAGGGCCAGTGCTGCTCCTTGTTTTGTGAATAAAGTTTTATTGGCACACAGCCACGCCCACTGGTCTTTGTATCACCTGTGCCGGCTTTCATGCTACCACGGCAGGACTGAATAGTCTTGACAGAATGTCTGGCCTGCAAAGCCTAAGATATTTGCTCTTTGGCCCTTTACAGAAAGGTTTGCTGACCCCTGCCTTAAAAGATGAGTCAGTGTGTGATGGATAGAGAAGAGAACATTCCAGAAAATGACCAGGCCTTTCCAGCCATTGGATCAAAATGTCAGGAAGCAGCAGCAACTTAAGTATATAAGCTTCTTTCTCCGGGCTTCTTGGGTTAGTTTCAGTGTTATCTCCTTTTCCCCCCCTATAGTTGAAAATTAAAGATCTAAGATTCCATCTCTATGATATTCTGAAAAGGCAAAACTATGGGGACAGTAGAAGGGTCAGTGGCTGCCGGAGGTTGAGGGGAGGGAAGAATGAACAGGCAGGACACAGAGCATTTTCAGGGCAGTGAAACTACTCTGTGTGATCTGTAATGCTGGATACGTCATTATACATTTGTACAAACCCATCTGAATGGAGCATCCAGAGTGACCACTAATGTCCAGTATGGACTTGAGGTGGTAATGATGTGCCAGTGGAGGTTCGCCAGTTGGCACAAACACACAGCTCTGGTGCTATGTTGATGGCGGGGAGGCTGTGCACTGAGCACAGGGGACATATGGAAAACTGCACTTTCTACCCAATTTTGCTGGGAACCTAAAACTGTTCTAAAAAATAATGTCTACTTTTTTTTTTTAAAAAGAGAAAGATCCGAAGGCTCTGTTAGCTGGATGAGGTTGCATCCCCAGCTTCCTGTGCCTTGGCTCTCCCAGGACGTTGGAGACAGAGGTTCATATGAATCTATTTTTTCCATCACAGTTTGCAGAGTTCCCTCCTCCCTATGTATTTAATGTTTGAGAGACACTTTTCTGTATGTTCTCCAAGTGAAACTCAGACCTGACCCTTGCCTTGGGCAGGAAAGTCAGTCCTCAGGCTGGCTTTGAGCCAGGTCACCCACCTTGGCTTCTGATGCATGGGCTGTTGCCTCATGGCCATATACTGGGTGTCCTCCTGCAGCCGGTTCAAGGGTGAATCTGGTTTCAGGCGGATCCCATAGTAATGATACTTGGAGTTGCCCCTAGAAACCAAGCATCTCAGGGTCAGCTCTCCTTGCAGATGTTCTGAACGACAAGACAAGTGCTCTATCTTGGCCCTTCATTTTGGGTGCTCAGGCTCAGTGTTCCCTGGACCATGTGGGAAATGTTCACGGGCTGTTCTGTGATCAGAGAGGTTTAGGAAATTCTGTACTGGGCATCCGCCTCCCGGAGATATCTACCCCCCCCTTGCATTTTAGTATTCTAAAGGCTCTGAGAAGTCCTGCAGTGGGAAAAGCAGTCCAGCTTTGTTTGACCTGGCATGACCTCACCACCATCATCATCACCAGCATCACCATCAATATCATCATCATCATACCATTGTCACCATCACCATCGACACAATCACCATTATCATCACCAGCATCACTGCCATCACCATCGTTATCACCATCACCACCATCATCATCACCATCATCACCAACATCACCACCACCATCATCATCATCATCACCATCATCATTACCAACATCACCATCATCACCACCACAGCATCATCACCACCATCAACACCAACATCACCATCATCACTATCCCATCATCATCTTCACCATCACCACCATCACCACCATCACAGCCGTCATCACTATCCCATCATCATCATCTTCACCATCATCACTGTCATCATCACCATCACCACCGTCATCACTATCCCATCATCATCATCTTCACCATCATCACTGTCATCATCCCATCACCACCATCACCACCATCACAGCCGTCATCACTATCCCATCATCATCATCTTCACCATCATCACTGTCATCATCACCATCACCACCATCAGCATCACCATCACCACTGTCATCACTATCCCATCATCATCATCTTCACCGTCATCACTGTCATCATCACCCTCACAACCATCAGCATCACCATCCTCACCCCCCGCCCCCAGTCATCTGACAACATGATCTAGGAAATGGTAACGCTTTGGGAAACACTATCATAGCTTATTATGTGAGAAATGAACGATCAGAGGGCTTTAGGCAATTTGGTTAAGAAAACAGGTCAGAAGGGCTCCTCAGGAGAGAAGCACTGAAGGATAGACATGTGTCTGGCAATAGGGACAAGTGGGCGGAGCATGGGTCCTTTCTGGATGAGGTAGCAGCTTGGCTGGTGCCAGGAGGAGGGAAAGCAGTGGGGAGAAAAGCCCCAGTCCTGAGGCCAGCATCCAGGACACTCTGACGGTGGAGGCCATGCATGAACCGTCTGGAGAGGCCCCGAAGGCAGTGGTGGCTGTGTCCCCAGAGACCAGGGGCTCCCTCTCCTTCTCCCCCACCCTCCCCTCCTCTACCCATTGATGCTCTGTAAGGATGTTCTCTGTACAGGATCAGAGGGTGGCAGAGAACATTAACGTTCTCTTGGCCCCTTCTGTGTGCTCTAGGCCCCCCACTTTGAATAGAGTATGGCTGCTGTCTTCTAGTGGGAGGAGTGTTTGTTTCCTGCCTGGGTAAGTCTGCGGCATATGGCAGTCCCTGGCGGCTGCAGGCCAAGGGCAGGCTATGGTGGACAGGTCCAGGCAGAGCAGAAAGCACCAAGAAACCATAAATCCAACTCTACTTGATAATCCAGAGGCTGCTTGTTAAGAAAACCTGTTATTATGGAAAATTTTAAACAAACGGTGAGTGCTGAAGCAAAGCCTGTGTCCTTGTCACCAGGAGAGAGATGGCCCATGGCCAATGCCTTGGGCCAGTGAGGCCCGTGCTGCTGCCAATTCAGAACAACTCCAAGTTCATCCAGAGGCATGCAGGCAGAAGGAGAAAGACCACATTCTCCAAAAGCTCAATATCTGTATAGAGGACGCAGGAGGATGGGTGGGCGTGGGGCTACCGGGCACCCCCATATACACACCTGGTGCCCAGCCGCCGCGTCCGCAGGCCCATGAACACGGAACGGATCAGCTTCCCGAAGGAGGCGGCATTCACAGGGTCCAGCTTGTGCTCCTGGCAGTGCCGAAGGTAATGGTTGTAGAGAGAGCTTCTGGGGAGACTGACGCCTTCTGCGGTTTCGTAGTTATCCAACAGCCACTGGAGCTGGAGGAAGACAGACACGCTCGCGTTCGTCAGGATCCCCCAAAATGCTGAAAGGCTAACGTGGACTCATTAAGAGAAGCACATACTTTCTCTCCATTAACGTGATGAGGAAGTTCATAGCCACTGTCGCTGATTTGGATTTGAGAGATTCCGGGCACATGAATTAATAGCTTCTCTCCACTCCTGTATTTATTCCTTCAATGTTCAGCCTGGTTTTCAGATTCCTTGACTTAATTTACAAAAACCTGCAAGTGACTGAGACCTCTTGGGTGTCTTCCTAATCATTTAGACACCATGTCTCCTAAACTGACAGGAATGTCAAGATGAAGAGGAAGATTGAAGAAAGCTCGGCAGACCCATCAGCACTGCCCCCGGCATTAAACAGGGCGATGTGGGCCTTTAGAGCTTGTCCACCCCTCCTGACATCTTGTGACTGAGGGACAAATCGGCCATCTAAGGATTAAGATGGCTGGGGCTCGGCCACCTGTCTCATTGCTGGTCACTGAATAGGAAAGTCCTGCGTGAATTCTTGCCCTATTGCTTGTGCTACTATCCATGTCTCCAATCAGGAATTCTGCACCCTGGGGCAGCCAGATTCTACTAGAACAGGCTGGGAAGGAAGGGAGGAGTGGAAGGGGGGATTCCTGGACACTCCTTCCTCATGCCCCTCTTTTTTCTTTTTTCTTTCTTTTTTTTAATTGAAGATTTTATTTGTTTATTTGACAGACAGACATAGCGAGAGAGGGAACACAGGCGGGGGGTGTGGGAGGTTGAGAAGCAGGCTTCCCGCGGAGCAGGGAGCCCGATGCGGGGCTCGATCCCAGGACCCTGGGATCATGACCTGAGCCGAAGGCAGACGCTTAACAACTGAGCCACCCAGGCGCCCCCCTCCTGCCCCTCTTCTTAGCAGCTCTCAGACCCGATGCGAGCGACTGCGCTTCCTCCCTGAGGTAGGACGTGTGTGCCTCCAGAGGGGTCTGTGTTCACGGCTGGTGGACTGGCCGAGTGGCCCGGAAACCATACACTCTGGAATGTGTGCTGTATTTTCTCTCAGGAAAGCTTTTTCTTTTTCTTTCGGAAACAACAACAAAAGAAAACGAAAAACAGGACGACGGGTAGAGGCGGACCGACCTCCCCTTGCGTCTCTGAGAGAGAGGCTGTCCGCGGAAACGGGACACAGTACTGAAGAGGCTTCCGCGCCAGGTTCTGGGCCCAGGCCGGAAGGCAGCCAAGTCGCTGCCCCCAGCAGCCCTCCCCCGCCACCCTCGGCTCAGCATCGGGTCAGAAGGGCAGGAGCCGTCCACACAGAGTCAAGCCCCCACACCAGGCAGCGGCCCAGAGGAGGCCTGCCCAGCAGAGCGCGTCTGTTCCCTGATCAAGGGAGGTCTGATGTGTGAATACTAAAGCCCTGAACCGCGCTGGGGATTTGGAGAAGGGCAGGAGTCGTGCCCGGGCCCCAGGCCTGAGGCAGGATCCTGCATGGGAAGGGTCAGGGGCTCTCGGTGCCCCCGCCGACCCAGGCGTGGGGGACCCAGCACGTCGCACACCCTCTGAACCCTTCTAGACCCGAAGTGAGCGTCTGCCCAGGGAGAGCTCAGCCGCAGCCGGCCCCGCACGCGCATGCTGGGGGGTCGGCTGGAGTCTCCCCTTTCAAAGACAGTTTTATTATGGAAAGGTTCTAACAGGCACAGAGGTAGAGAGAGCAGCATAAGCGACCCCTGCTTCTACAGGCGTCAGCTCGGGGCCAGGTTTATTTCATCTAAGCCCCACCTGCCGCCTCCTGCCTGTGTGCGGCTGTTTTCAAGTGAATGCCTGACGGGCCTTCGTTCCACCACTGGGCCTCCCTGCTCTAGCGCGGGGCCCGAGTGGGAGGCCCGAGTGGGGGCCGGCCATGGGCAAGGAGAGGTTCAGAGGTCGAGGTGGGCACGGCTGCATGTGTGGGATGCAGGTGGGCCACAGGCCAAAGGTCCAAGTGAAGGGACACGCGGGGACTGGCAGAGCAGAGGGTCCTGTAACAGAAGGACACCGATCGGGCATCAGGAAGGGCTGGGGTCGTGGGCTCTGCTTTGGAGGGGAGGTCGCCTGACTGCTAGGCCTGGCTTCAGGGCAGAGGCCGGGCGCAGGCGTGTTAACGGGGTACCCGGGCTGAGGACGGGGTCTCCGGGGGGGACGCACAGAGGGGGCGTCCACACACGCAGGGCCCGAGGAGGAGAAGAGCGGCCGGAAGGCCTAGCATTCAGGCCCAGTGTATTTTGCTGCCCTGCCGCCCAGGGAACCAGGAGAGGCTCCCTCCCCGCAGGCTTCTGCAGACAAGCCTCAGAGCTGCAGGAGCCTCCTCAGGGAGGGACCGGGCGCAGCCCCTGCTTCTCCCTGAGCCGCCGCACCACGGTCGCTACGAGGCCGGCCTGCTCCCCGTGCTCCCCGTGCGGCCCTGTGTCCTCCCGGCCCAGACTGCGGGCCTGCGTGGCTGACAGCTGGCCCCTCACGCACCCGGCGTCCCAGTGCCGGGGAACCCCAGGTGGCCTCCTCCCCGCCTCAGCCGCGGGGCCACTGAGGGGCAGTTAGGACAGCACAGAGCAACGGGAGAGGAGGGCGGCCGCAGCCCCTGGCAGAGGCCCCGGGGGACAGGGCGGCGCCCAGGAAGGACACCTGACCCCCTGCAGCCGCCCCTCTGCGAAAAGAACTTCCTGTCGCCTCGCTTGAGGTTTAGTTTTCCAACTCTCCTTAAGTGTGCTTTTTCTGCCACCTTTTTCTCTCCAGAGTTTTGCTCTGGCCCAGGAGCCACCTCCTCGGTCCTCCCTGGCCCCTGACCTCTCTCCCCTTGCTGCCGGAAGCTGTGACGGCAGCATGGCACTGCCCTGGGCTCAGGGAGGCTGCGGGACGGTAGGCCTGGGGCATCTGGAAGGGGCAGGGGGTGAGCACAGCCCCATCGGCGCCAGGAAGCTGCCCCGCCTCAGCGACAAGGCATGGTGGGGGGGCGGGTAACTGGGTTCCCTGGCTACCACCCTCTCTTATTTTCAGTTTGGGATCCAGGTGAGGAAGGGCTGGTATTTGAGGGGGTTCTTTGAGCCCTGGGGTTTTCTTCAGAGAACTTCCCCCTCTGAAGCTAGCAGGTGCATTTTATCTATTTATCGCTCGTCTCCCCCACTGGAATGAGAACCCCAGGTGGGTAGAGATGGAACCGGGTCTGCCCATGCTTGCACCCCCAGGAGGTGCAACGGACCAAGAGAAGGGGTCCTGAAGAGCAGAGGGGCCCCCAGCACGCGGGAAGCCGACGGTCAGGGTGCAGCAGCTGGAGACTTTCTCTCTCTGCCCTGCCCCCCTCCCCCCCGCCCCGGGAGCACAGAGTGCTGCTTCTTAGGGAATCCTCCGGGAGCGGGAGAGGAACACGGACTTTCAGGGGAGAAGGGTGAGGTCAGGTTCCGTGGGTGGTGGGCTGGAGGGGGCCCTCGACAGGACCGGCTCACATGTATGATGAAGTGCTCCGGAAGAACGATCGCTTCGGCTTATCACCATCCCCCAGCCCCGTGTTGTTGAAATGAAAAATGGATCTCTTTACTTGGGTAATTATGTTGGCATTGAGAACAATGATGCATGGTTATCACGGCAAGTTCTTCCCAAGCAGAAGTAACTCCAGAGAGAGCTGACACCTCTCGCAGCTCCCAGAACAATCAGTTACACTTTCTCCCCCTTTTGCAACAGAGGGGAAGCTGATGAAGCTGATTCAAGTGACCAATGAGTCAAGTCATGACGGAGCTGAGGGAGGGAGCCATGGGGAAGCATTCTAGGCAGAGGGAACAGCCCGTGCAAAGGCCCTGGGGCAGCACCGGGCCTGGCATGTTGGAGGGACAGTGAGGGGGCCTGTGTGGCTGGAGCAGAGAGAAGGGGGAGGGGAGGGGAAGGAGGGGACAGGGTCGGTCGGGCAGGGCCCCGGAGGCTGTTTGGAGGATGCTGGCTTCTACTTGGAGTGTGATGGGGGACCTGGAGACTTCTGGACAGAGAGGTGCCATGATCTGACTTTGGTTTCAGTAGAATCACTGTGGCCGCTGCTGTGAGAAGGGCCCGGAAGCTGGGGGAGGGCAGCTACCAAGGGCTCACTAGGTGGTGGCCACGACACTCCACGGGAGAGATGGTGGGGGCTGTGGCGGTGGAGGAAGGAGAAGTGGTCTGCTTCGGGATGATTCTGAAGGTGAGGTCAAGAGCATCTGGAGGTGGGGTCTGGGAGGAGGATGGGAAGCGAGGGGGAGCAGCAGAGGACGGTGGGAGGCTCAGGGGTTAGAGGGGCAGTTGGGGCTCGGCTTTGGACACGCTGTGTTGAGCTGCAGCTCCAAGCCAGCAGGTGGGAGGGGCCAGGTGGTGGTGCCACCTGGGAAACAGCCTTTGCACCGGGAGTCAGGGTGGGGTCAGCAAGGCGGTGAGGAGGCTTCGGGAAAGAAACCAGCAGTCTGACCACCACTGCTGGAGGCATCTGCCACGATAATTTGGAGCAATTTCTGGACAAGGGACCCATCCCAGGAAGCTGCCGATTCTAGCCAAGCCCCAGCCCTGGTCTGCATGGCATGCTTTGTCATCACACGGGCCTGCAGTCCGCTGCCAACTGAAGACCACGTGATCTTTGGCAATTTGTGGTCCTCAATTAAAAAAAAAAGTCATAGAATCTAAATACAATTAATCTACAAGCAGGTCCTCCTCCCAGGGTTTACTACATAGACCACGTTGCCCCCCTGTGACAGTGACCGTGAACCAGTGGTAGGGGGGTCCCTGCGTGGGGGGGGGGTGTTGTTCTGTGCAGGGATCTGAGGCACGGCTGAGGGGCAGCCCTGGGAGGAGCCCAGGCCCCTCCCCTGCTCAAGGCGGGGGACCTTGACTGAAGTCCCCCCAGACCAGGCACCACGGTGGTTGCGTCTGCGGTGGGGGAAGGCGTTTTCCTGCCCAGGGCAAGCGCTTCGCCTCCTTCCCTGCAAGCAGCTATCCCTGGTTTTCATGCCACCAAATCTGCCCATCCCCGTCTTCGAGACTGCTCCAAGCCTATTTCCACCCGAGGCTGGAAGGTTCCTTCCACCTGCAGAACCCCTGGGTCTCACTCAGCCCCTTGAGGGCAGGTGGGAAAATTCCCGGAGACCCCGACATCGGCTGGGTCTGGAAGGCACTGTCTCGCCTCCCAGGCTCAGGGCATCTCGCCAGCCCTGGACACCACCCCATGCTAGCCCGTCGTCATCACTGTCGTCGGGAAGCAAACTCCGCAGAGCACGAGACCCAGGTCCAGCGGAAAGCCTGCACGGCTGGCTTCTGGGCACACTGCCGTGTGACCTGGGTGAGCCTTCTCACAGCTGCTGGGCTACTGCCCGCGCATTCCCAGCTCCCTGGCGTGAGTTCTCCTCGTTCCTTCTGCCCCTGTGTTCAGCACAGCTCTGGTGCGGGTGGGACGCCGCGACCCCGGCTCTTAGAGAAGGGTTGGCTGGGAGGCCACCAGGAAAATGGGTCCGTGGGGCACAGCCCCCAGTCCGGCTCGTCTGCCCTAGGGCTGGGCTGGCAAAGGAGCCGGGACTCGGCCAGTGTCGCCCGGCACTGGAGCCCACTCAGCTGCGGGCGGCCAGGGTGACAAGCATCATGAGCGAGCATGGCCGGCCGCCGCAGGGACACGGGGCCCCAGCTATGGGCCAGGACCCATTCTCTCCCTCCCCTCCTGGCTCTCACATCAGCTGGACGAGCTCCAGGAGGCTTTCACCCCAGTCCGTGGGGTCAACTCTTCAGAAAGATAATTTCTCTTCTCTGATTCTAAGCCACCAAGCCCAGACCCTGCTGCTCACAGCTCCACGACACACGACACACGACACATGGCCAGGGAGAAATGGATGCAGGGAGTGTTTCCTGCTCAGAAACCGAACCAGCAGGGAAGCAGTCAAAGGCATCTCCTTCCAAAGGAAACATGTTAGAAGCCAGAAGCAACCCTGCAGCCAGAGACAAGCGGCTCATGCGTTTCCCCACAGACATTTTAAATTTCCTGCGGAGCCCTGCCTGCCTGGGGTTTGCGCCCCACATTCTGCCTTCCTCAAGGGTGACCCAGTGCTGGGGCCCATGGGCCGTGTTGAGGCCACGCGTGTTTGCTTCAGGGCCCTGCTCAACAGAGCAGGCCACTGTTCAGACATGCCCGCACAGTGGCCTGAGTTTAAGACTGAGCAAGAACACACTGCCGATTGTTCCCTCCCCAGATCAGCCACGGGGCTGACACTGTCCAGCAGTAACTAGAGACAGGGAGGCCATGAACCACCTAGTCTGGGGGGCGGGGCACTCAGCAGGGCCCTGATGCTCTCTTATTTATTTATGTATTTATTGCTTTGAGATGATGGGTGTGAGACTGCTCTCCCTTCCAGTGACTGGGCCTCTGAGGCCCAGGAGTGCACAGCCCTGGTTACGTGTACCTGGAGCAGCCCAGGACACCTGTGCCAATCCAGAAACCTAGAAGTTTCTGGACCTTCCCTAGCTGGGTTTCTGCCCCAACATCACTGCCCTTTGAGCCAATGCCTCACTTGGCACGCCGGCCAGTACCAAAGTCTTGTTGGGGCCCTAGTTAGGAAATAAAGACTCTTAGCTGGTCACCTCCTCCAGTCCCATCCTGCCCCACGAAGCTGCCCAGAGACAGGGCCGTTTGCTGCCTCCTGGCACGGAAGCTACCATCACGGTCTCCCCAGGAGGAGAGCGAAGGAGAAAGATCCTATATAGTTAAAATCAGTATTGTTGCTTTGCACTTTTCTCCTATTATTATTATTTTTTTCCCCCAAAGAGCTGGTCACAGACAGGAAAGGCAGCTAAGAGTCATTAGGGTGCCCCCAGTCCTGCCTTTTCTGTGGTGGTTGCTGCCTATCTTAGTATCAGTTTATCTGTGATGCCCGTTGCCTTCCCGGGCCCTGCAGGGAGCACGCAGACTCTCGCTCTTCCCTCCACGAGCACCCGGAGGGTATGTGCTGTTACCAGCCACCTGCATGGATGCAGGACGCTTTCCCTCACGCTGCTGAAGGGTTTTTTTTTTTTTTTTTGCTGGATGTAGCATCCTAGGTTGGCTTCCCCCCTCCCTCCCACCTTTCAGCACCTGAGAGGCATCATTTCATGGTCTTCGCTTGTTTTTAAGATGCCTACGAAGGTTACGAGTGCGGCAGGGCAGGCCGCCGGGTCGACACACACTTACATGGCTGTTGAGTAAACCGGTTTTGTGTGAAGTGATCCCTTCGCTTTTTTGGAGGTTTTCAATCGCCATTTCAAGCTAAAGAAAATGTGTGCAGAAACAAAACAAAACGGAAAAAAAAAAAAAGGAAATCAGATGGTTAGCATCAGCCAAGATTTGTTTTTATTAATATCCAAATAATGATTCAAGCGCCTACAAAATAAAAACAAGGCTTGACGCAGGTTGGGGAGGGGGGCGTGGTTAGGCGGCGAGTAAAAGCTGTGGCCTGGGAGGGGAGCGTGACTCCTGACATGCGGGTGAGCGCGGGAGCCCGGGAGCACCAACAGCACAAAGGAGCATTCTGCAAACACCCGCTGCGGCATTTCACATCTGCACAGCATGACTACTGAGCCGAGGCGCGAGTTCAGGTAGAGGCAAAGCCAGCAGAATAATCACCCTGCTGCTCCCCTGACCCGTTATCGGTTGCTAGGGAGAATCAGCTGTCCACCCAAGGGCAGCCGGTGGAACTACTAATTTTCTGGTCGGCTTGTCCTGTCACAAAGCCCAGGGTCTCCCTCCTGGGTGCTCCAGGAAGATACCAACGAGGCCAGAGACCCTGGCCCTGCCATAGGGAGGCGTTGAACCCTGGGGCCACTGGACATGTCACAGAGATACGCTCCTGAATGTTTATGAAGCGTGAGCTGGGCAAAGTCATGGGGAGCTAACAGGGATGCCTTCCTGGGGGGAATGGGCTTCTGAGCTGGGTTCCGAGGACCTCATGGAGGCAGGGAGCTAAGGTGGTCCAGCAGGCTGATGCACAGGAGCAAACGCCCGGCTGTGTGCGGCTCCTGCCACGTTCACATGTGCCGAATCTGACGCCCACTTGTGCATATTAAATGGAAATGGGAAATCTGCTGGAGCCCACCACGACGGGCAGAGAACGGCAATGGAAGGAAATAACCCGATGCACACCCTGACCTTCCTCAGACACGCAGGGAAGGCAGACTTCAGCGATGTGTGTGCAAAAAGCAGGTGGAACACGTATTTTGGAAAGAACGGCTGGACGGGGCTCCTGAGCCCGAGGGCAGGAATGAGAGGGTTCTGCTTTGCCCATCACCTCTTCCGACAGCTCTGTGTGTGTCCACTGTCGCCACTTTTACTCAACACTGTGCTGGAAGTTCTAGCCAGGGCAGTCAGGCAACAGTGGGAAATAAAAGACATCCGTATCAGAAAAGAAGTAAAACTATCTCTCTTTGCAGATAACATGATCTTAGACACAGAAAATCCTGAAGGAGCCACAAAAAAACAATGAATGCTCGTAAACAAACCTGGCAGAGTTGCAGGATACAAGATCAACATACAAAAATCAGTTATATTTCTCAACAATGAACAATAGGAAAATGAAATAAAGAAAACAATCCCATTTACAACCAGCATCAAAGAAAATAAAATACCTAGGAATAAATTTAGCCAACAAGGTAAAATACTTACATTAAAAACTATAACGTTGCTGACTGAAATTAAAGGAGACCTACATAAACAGAAGATATCCTATGTTCATGGATCAGAAGACTTAATATGTAGATGGCAATACTCTCCAAGTTGATCAGTGCAATCCTTAGCCAAATTCCCTATTAAACTTCCAACTGCTTTTTCAGAAACGGACAAGTTGACCCTAAAATTCGTGTGGCATTAGGCCAAAACAATATTGAAAAAGAACAAACCTGGAAGGCTCACATTTCCTGATTTCAAAACTTACTACAAAGTTACAGTAACCCAAACAGTGCAGTGCTGGGATAAGGATAGACATAGATGTACACAGGTCAATGGAACGGAATTAAACATCCGGGAATAATCCCATATGTCTGTGGTCAACTGATTTTTGACAAGGGTGTCAAGACCACCGAATGGAGAAAGAGTAAACTTTCTACCAAATGGTGCTGGGATAAATGGGTTTCCACATGAAAATGGAGTTGGACCCCTACTTCACAATATATACAAAAATCAACTCAAAATGAATCAAAGAACTAAATGTAAGAGCTACAACTATAAAATGATTGGAAGAAAACATAAGGTAGTCATGTACAATAAGGTTATCTTCATGACCCTGGATTTGGCAATGGATTTTTAGATATGACACCAAAAGCACAAATAAAAGATAAAAAATCTTTACAAAGATACATGGGACTTCACCTGAACTAAAAACTTTTGTACAGCAAAGGACACTATCAGGAGAGTGAAAAGACAAGCCACAGAATGGGAGAACATATTTGCAAACTGTATTATCTGATAAGGGTCTTGTATCCAGAATATATAAAGACCTGTCACAACTCAACAACCAAATGACCAATGACCCAATTAAAAAATGGGCAAAGGACTTGACCAGACATGTCTGCAAGAAGCACATGAAACGATGCTCGGCATCATTAGTCATTAGGGAAATACAAACGAAAAGCACAGGGAGATACCACTTCACACACACTAGTACGGGTATTAAAAAAGAAAGAAAGGAAAGAAAAAAAAAAACACCAGTGTCGGCGAGGATGCAGAGACCCTTGAACCTCACACACGGCTGGCGGAATACAAAATGGTGCAGCTGCTGTGGAAAACAGGCCGGCAGTTCCTCCAAAAGTTACACATAAACTCAGTTAAACTATTACGTCCGAGCAATTCCGCTCCTGGGTGTATTCAGAAAAACGTGTACGTGAATGTTCATAGGAGCATGATTCACCATGGCAAAAACCCGGAAAAATCCAAGTGTCAGTCGCGGATGACTGGATGAACACAATGCAGTGTATCTACACAATGGAACAGTATTCATCCACCAAAAGGAAGGAAGTAGTGATACATGTTACAATATGGATGAGCCTCAAAAGCATGATGCTCAGTGACAGAAGGCAGGCACAAAAGACCAGAGAGTATATGGTGCTTGTTTATATGAAATGTCCAGGACAGGAAAATCCTTGGAGGCAGGAAGCAGAGTAGTTACCAGAGGCTGAAGGAGGAGGGACTGGCGGGAGGGGTGACTGCTAACTGGTCAGGGTTACCAGTTTACAGGGTGATGAGAATGTTCTGGAACTAAAGAAGGTAATGGTTGTACAACACTGAGAATGTACCAAATGCCGCTGAATCATATACTTTTAAGTGGTTAAAATGATGCATTTTATGTTATGTGAATTTGACCTTGATAAAACATATACAACTAATTAAAAAACCCATTATTCTCCCTTGCCATTTGAATGGATCTTCTCCCCACATGCGTGGTTTTGTAACCTCCCGCTTCAGTCATTTGGAAAATATTGGTTCACTGACTTTGCAGATGTTCCAAATGTTGACATGCTTTCATTATACAGTACTGAAAAATCACATTTGTTAGTATCACTACCAAGCTCAAAATTCTAATTCTTTTTTGGTTGAAAATGTATTGGCAACCAAATTAGTCGGCTGTTTTCCTGGATACATCCACCTCGCACCATTCATTTTTGAGTAAATGTCTGCCAATTCCCCAAGTCTGAATAATCATCATTTGTCTGTTACTCCTTCAAGCAAACGGTGTTTCGTGACAAAAATGGCTGGTTCGGCGCACAGTCATTTGCCGGCGTCTTTTCCTTAGGGCAGTCATCATACATTGGCAGAAGAAGTGCCTTTTGTCACACAGAATATCGGAAAGATGTGAATTCCAGGACTGAGATTTAATACAATTAACAGCAATTAACAGCTCCATCAAGGACCATAGGTTAAACTTAACCGGAAATTGCAGTACCCCATCCTCAGCTTCTCTTTTCTTTTTCACTGTGAGCGCAGGGTGGGGAAGACCACAGCGACGTCTGGGAGAGTCTGACGCCTCTGCCTCACTCCGCACCTGCATTTGTGCCCCGGGGGCTCATCGATGTTGATTTTGCACAGTCAGTGCAAATGTCAGCACAGGGAAAGTGGCGGCTGATGGCTTGGTATTATTATGAAAACAGTTTTGACCCCGTGGGGCCCCTGAGAGAGTCTTGGGGACATCCAGAGGAGTGCCAGACATATTTAGGACTGCCTGCTAAAAACTACTGTAGAGTATTGTGGAAAAGAACACAAATTAAGGCTTGCTGCATAAGACCATCCTGAAGAACCCACAGCTATTAAATAGGGTCTGATCAAGCCCATGGATGCAGGAAATTAACTTAATGCACAGTGGAACCTCCCAAGGCCTTCACTGTTTTAAAATTAAATCTTCGTGTAAACATCAGTAGGCGGTGAAGGTCAGGAAACCACCCCCCCACCTCGCCCAAGGCCAGATGGGGATGTTACCGCCCCGGAGTCAGCACTGACGGCGCAGTGCGCACACGTCTGTCCAGCAGAGGGCGCGGCGGCGCCACCTCCCAGCCCTGCATCGGTGGACAAGGAGCATTCTGCACTTGACTTCAAGTCCGAGTCTTCCTTAACACACCTGCCAGAGCGACTCTTACTGCACAAGTACAAACGCTTTGTTCAGTCCCCTCAGTGGCTGGAGAAGTTAGTGTTTAAATATGCTTAAAATAAAAACTAATTTTATATTTGACTGGAGTTTAACTTTTTGCTATTTAAAGATACTTATCAAGGTGCCATCTGCACAGGCCCACATATCAAACAGTAAGGAGGAGCCAAGGATGGACGTAGTGGTGCCCCACCCCACCCCAGGCCCAGGCAGCTTTCCCGAGAATCATTTCCGGTTTCTGAACTTCCGCAGTTTCCTTCCATCTTGGTATTGTGCTTATACATCCGTTTCTTGGCTTATCAAGAGCTTAATTTTTATTTTTGATTCGATGCAATGCAGTAATATTCCTTTTTATTGGTCACTTAATATCATCTGTTTCTGCTACATGAATTATTAGCAGAATATGGGGGGGAACGGATACATATCGTGCTTTAAGGGCTTGTTCAGAAGGAGGGCAGAAAATATGTAAGGACTTGCGATCAAAGATATAGTGTCTCAAGAACCTAATGTAAAAGCAGATAGCAGACAAGTTTTAGTAGCTCCCAAGTATATTAAAATAAGCCAACTATTTAGAAAATTCCTCTCCTTTCATGTATAATCCTAGCAAGATTCCACCAAGATGTAAGGACCGTACTGGGGC